CCACTGTTAATAATGTGGGAAAGTTCAACTACAAGTCCCCTTATCAGCCTGCATGAAATAGGATGAATAGATCCTGTAGAATTAGGCCTTTATGTGGTAGTGACTGATATGAATTTCATTAATTTATGCCATTTTGAGATAGAATGCTCTCAAACGAGTAGGTTTACTGATTATGGTACGTCTGCTGTTAAAATGAGGATAGGAGAGGCTGCTGAAATTAATGGATTAGAACGTACGTTGCATGTGAGGAGCGGTGATGGAAAGAAGAGAAGATGGATGATAGATGGTTTAGTAAGAACTTTGTTTGCTTTATAAATAGATTTAAAGAGAGAGTATGTGTTATGTTATTCTGCTACTAAGCATTGGGCAATTCGACTTGGATTTGCCTCGGTTACGCATACTCAAACGAAGAAATAAAAAGGAAATGTACAGGCCGAAAAATGTCTACGCCAGAATGGGATCTGTGAAAGATAAAGGTTGATGAATGTGAATCAAACTGCCTTCTGAAAGTTACCCCAAGACTAGCGTCACAACTAAGGAAATGAAATATTCAGTTTGCCACGAGGGAAAAGACAGACAATTTTTATATTTGGTCAAAATGAGGAATCACATCCAACTCATTACCATTCTTCACCTCTTCAGGCGATCTCTCAGACAAGCTGATTCATTCAACAAGAAGGTCCACAGAATGTTTGACTACATTTGGAAGATCAAAATTCACTCCTTTGTCTAATGAAAGTTATAGGGGATAAATTAATTACCATATCATCCCCCAATTTATTAAAAATATGATTATTACGACTTTCATGCTCGGTCATATTCCAATTTCTAAGTTCAACAGATTATGGTTCTTCTATCCGTAGCCTCTCCTAACACGTCACCCACATGCTTTAACTGAAGGAAATCCACATCATTCAGTACCTCAAAAAGGGATTGTCAAGGCCTAGATTTAGTTCTAATTCGACAGGATGTATTCATCCCATTTCATGCTTTCTGATAAGGAGACTTGTAGTTGAATTTTCCCACATTATTAACAGTGGACATGACGTTTCCATTGCAGTTCATACAACCCTGCTTTCGCAAAAGTTGTACGGCAGTTTCGACCTCGCCCGGATCTTATCACCACCCCCAGCGGGACTCGAACCATGGCACTGCATCTTCATTGCGGGAAAATTCAGCCACCCAAAACGAAATGGGATGAATACATGCCATAGCCATGATCAACTGGTGGTCTCGAAAACCTGATTAAACACGAAAAATGTGTTCTTACTAGTTTATTGTTTCAACCAAACCACAATATACCCGATCAAGTTGCCCATTAGTGGAGTTCGGTTGATCGAAACGTCTGTCGAGAAAACTACATTTGGGAACAAGATGATGAAACATACACAATTTTAAGAATCGAAATCTATTGCCTTGACGACGGTACTTTTCTCGGTTTCGGGTCTGGTCAAAAGACAATTGACAAGTGGTTGAAGCATACGTACATTGTGGACACGAAGAGTAACTGGATTTCAATGAATCAGTTGAGATAACATTGCTGATCAGATCTTCATTTCGTATCAAATCCTTTATGGAATAAGACTTAGACCGTATTAATTCATAGCTTAAGAATAGCTCTCGTGGACCATTTCAACCTGTACGCCGTAGTAAATCGAACCGGCTACAGTACACCGAGTACGAGTCTTCCTCTTTTTGTACCCCTGGAGAGTCATCGAGACCAATGTATTCTTTGTATAACAATTATTTACTAATTAATCTTCAAACTATTTAACGTTTTATGCTTTATACTACTTATAAGTAGCATGATATTAAACAATTTAAATAATATTTCATCAGACGACTAATAGATATTTGACCATCGATGCTAGTTAATATTATTCATGTTTAAAATACGTTTGCCTCGAGGATCTATCAAATATATTTGTATTAAATACGATTAATTTGAACTTTACTTACATCTTTCCGTTTAATGACTAATTATTGAATTAACCACAATGATCGGCGGTCAGGTATAATGTCCTATAAATCTCAAATTGCTACTTATACGAAGCCTAGTCTGTGAATGAATGAAACATGCTGTTGCCTCATTATCTTCTTCAATAGAAAAGTGATGCGCTGCAGTTTATCACTTGGCGTATACAGATTTTCATTTACCAAATCATCTTCGTGAACTGGTTTCTGCAATATTTCCAACTCACCCTAATGTAGACGCCGTATATGTCCACGAGTAGGATCGAGGCGACTGCCCAGATCTGCACAAAACCCGAAGTGATCAAGGCCATTGCCAATATCATCAGGAACATAAACTGACCTGGCGCTCCGAGGATACTGCCAATAACAACAAAGGGAGCAATTCCTGTACATAAATTGAAACGAATAAATGAATTAGGCGAATTATAACAAAAAGCTATTTGTTAAAGCTTATGCATTATGCTTGCAGAAAGGTCATTTCTAGTGGAGTCTAGTAGAGTCGTCCTAACGATTTGGTTGAAGTGATCGTACCCCGAATCCGATACCCAAATCCGACTTTGCCCAGAAAAATGTTGCCAAGAAGTTAATGAAATTATGTATTTATAAAGAGAGTTTCGAGACTACCACCATATTGGCAATATGCGATGTATTCACCCTATTTTGTTTAAAATGATAAAGGGCGGGCAGTTCAATTTGCCCACAATCGCATGAGTAGAGCTGGGGTTTTCATTACATTTCGCATAGCTTTACTTTCCCAAAAGGTGTTCTCATCGAGGGCAGACTGCAATTGTAAACTGGCCTAGGTCTTGGCATCACCCCCAGCGGGACTCGAACCGCAACAGTGCAGCATATCATCTCGACATGTTGACTACTACGCCACATTGCCACGAAAACCCTTGGGAAACGGGACAGGTGTGAATTTCACGGAAGATCAGACATATTCCCATATCATATTGTTTCGTTGGATTGTCGTCACCGGAAACCTGGATGAGAACAGCTTTTAGGATAGCAGAGATATGTGAAAGTCAATGGAAATGTCAGCTCTAATCATACTATCTTAAACGAAATAGGGTGAACACATCTCACGTTAATAATCAAGAAAATTAAATTTGCACAAGACACCATCCCAGAATGCTTCTATATCCACAATGAGCTTCCGGCAGTACAGGTCCTCGAAATTCGTCCAGCTTTAGCGCGAATTATGCATAGCAAATGAATTTTTCTGTATAGACTACCATAAATACTAACATAAAATGGGCTAAAATGATGTGGCAGACTTTTTCACAATAAGAACCTATGATGGTCCTCACTTAGCAACGGGGCAACTTTCCATGCAAGATCAACAAGAAGACATTTAGTGCTATATTGTAGGCATAATTTATTCCGAATTGACTCGTTGAGATACTTCGATTTCAGAGGTTCCACCGGAAGTCATGGCTATACTCAGATGACGTACAACTTCAAAGAAGCCTTTACAGGAAAAGAGAACAACGAAAGCTAGTAGAGCTATTTTTATTTTTTTTTATGAATTAGGTAGTTTGTAAAGAAGGTAAGAAGGTATGTATATATTAATATATAAATAAATAAATAAATATATATATATATATACTTGTGTTAGACTTTAGAAACCGTTACAACTCCCATTAGATATTCGAGAATGGCTGCTAGATAATCTTAATCTGGGTAAAAATTCAGATCTCTACGAGGATTGAGTTCAAAAGTTTGGGTAACCTACGATGAAAATAAACTCAGATCACCCACGATGAAATGAAGAAACCTCATAATGTTCACATGACTGTGCCCCTTAAGTGGTTCTCCTAGGCAACGTGAACGACCATTTTTACCTCCACTGCCAATCCTGGGATTAGCTAAATTTTTTCTGCAAAAAGGTACTCATCGTCTGCAAACTTATTTTTATCGAAAATGTTCGACGGATTTAAGAAATATGATTTTGCTTCAGTTTTATCTTCTCTATAAGCTGTTGCATGGGCCTCGTTCCAATTCCATTAGTACACTTAGTAAGGCTCTAACTTGGCTGATTTAAAAAAAGGGGTTAAAAGAATATTCGTGATTTTTTAATTTTTCTCAAATTCACGCAAGCATTATAACGTTTCAGGTACTGATCCTGACCTAATATGCTTTACGACGTCAGTTGATACTAACATTTTACCATTGTCCCGAAATTTCCGCTTCTCATTAATAAAATCTTAACTCTCTACTCGAATTTCTCAACGATAAATAGTTATAGATCAGACATTTACCCATGGAAATTTCTTTAGCCGAAACTATAGGCCCTCCGTTGATCAGTTCTAAAGCAAGATAGGCTAGACCGCAAGCTGTACCGAAACACATTGGCAAGGCAAACCAGATGAGACTGCCAAAGATGAAGCCAAAGATTCCGTGATTTGGCTTTGCATTGATGGCGACTAGCCAATAGGCTTGATCCATGAAGATTACACTAAGGTTTCCTGAAAAAGTGTATAAAGACAGGAGGATAGACAGAACATTAAGGGTTACAGCAATTATTGCCGATAAATAGGAATGTTTTCATCCCTTTGAAGCATACAAATGCATAAAATAGAAGAGAATTTGACGTGACATAAAGAGTATATAAGTAATATGAGATGTACTCACCCAATTTCGTTTAAGGTGGTGAAGGACTGGCAGAAGAATTTTCCCACAATCATATGAAGAGAGCCGACGTTGTGGAAAATTTATTCTACCAGTCCTTTATCGACTTAAACGAAATTAGGTGGATACATCTCATACTACTGATTTACTGGTAGTCTCGAGACTCTACTAAAATATTAAGTAAGTAATATGAGATGTATTCACCCTATTTCATTTAAGGTGATGAAGGACTGGTAGAAGAAGAATTCTCCCACAATTATGTGAATTTAGCTGACT